TATATAAATATTATATTATTAAATATATAATTTAAAATTAATAATATATTATAAAAATTATTTAAGTTGTATATATTACAAATAAACAAACAAATTCAATATATAAAAAAATATTACAAACAAATACATTAGAACAAGTAGTCGTTGTTATATTTAATAAGACTCTTTACTCTTCCATTAAGATATTCAATTTTCATTATTATTTTTGTGATTTATGGCCTTTTAATTTTTTTTTTAAAATAAGAAAAAATAGTGGTTGAACTGGTATCAAAAAATTGACCAGTTCAATCCAGTTTAAAACGGGTCAAATGTATAACCGATCTAACTTAAGATTCGGACCAGTTAAACTACCGGTTCCTGGTCCAACCAGTCCAACCGGCTGGTTCGATCCGGATTTTAAACTATATTTTAAATCTTTAATATAATAAAAACATATTTTTAATTTAATTTTAAACATAGTAGTCAAAACTCTCGATTAGCGATCTCACAAAGAAAGAAACTCAGGTCCACTCTCATTCTATATTATTTGGAGAATAATAATAATGAAAACTTTAATTGTCATCAGATAGAGTCTTGTAAAAAGATTAACCTCACATTGAACTTGTTCCGGCCAAGAGGTGGACTAGGGTTTTTCCTAGATCGTGCCTCAGAGCCAGAGCATTCAAAAGTGTAATCTGTCCTCCTAGCTCTAGGGTTTTTGGTTTTATACTTTTGTGTTTATGGGCTTCGTGGACCCCGCGATTTTCGGGATTCTCCTTAACCGCTCTTATCCTGAAGTCGTGGGAGTGGGTGGTTGTTAGCCAAGTCGGTATTTTACCGAGAGTGCCTTCACAAGGAGACCTATCGGGAAAGTGGTGAATTTCCTCTCGGGTGCATGTAACCGAGATCGGAGCCGAGTTGCCACACCTTGTGATAGTACCGTCAGATATTGGACGAGTAGAGGGTCTAGTCGGGATTTTTCCTAGACGGTATGTTAGTCGAGTTAGCTCTCAGCTTCCGAGAAGCTACTCGGTTTGGGGCGCCATGATTCACTTCTTCCGAAAAGATACTCGGCCTAGGACGATGACGGTCCACTCTCGGCCTAGGGCCACGACGGTCCAGAACTAATCTGAATTCCTGGTAAAAAGAAGTGTCTATATATTTTGAACAAGATTTGTTTTGAAAGTGAAAAAATAAACTACATTTGTTTTAATCTTAATTCATTATTAAAAAAATGATCTTTATTGGTTTAATAATTATGTCCGTAATAATTACACGACATATAAAACTCTAAAGAATAATGCTGCACCCTAGATTACCCACACAAAAGAATAACAAACAGAAGCTTTAAACACAAAAGCTAGTCAAACAAGGTGAACAAGACAAATCACGATAAGATTACATTGTCACAAGGAATAAAGAGTACAATGAGGAATAATGAATTTGTTACACAATAAGAATAAGAATGATATAATAATACAGAAAGCCCATCCAAAACAAAAGAGCCTATATGAATGTGTCATCATCATCCACTTCTCTTCCATCCTCACTCACTCCAAACAAATCCTCAAAAAAAAAAAAACCCTTGTAGTCACAAGAGAAGGAGACACAAAACACAACCACCTCTGCACAAATGGAACTCCATATATATATATATATATGCAACAAATTAACAAGGGTAGTTGAGGAATTAGAAGAGAATGGCAAATGCAAGAGCAATGAGAGAAGCAAAAGCAGTGGGAACAAAGAGGGTGGTGGTGGCATCAGAAGAAGGACCAGGGGCAGGTGCCTCAGCAGCTGAAACCCCACTTGCTGCCATCACCAACATGGCAATCACCAAAGCCAAGAAAACCTTCATCTTCATTGCCTCCATTGATAGGGAAAAAAAAAATGATTTTTTTACTTCTCCTTTGGTAAGTGTGTGTGAGAGAGAAGGTTTGAGACAATGAGTAATGGCAGTTGTTGGAATTGAAAAACATGTTGTGGCATTGGGTCGTCTTATATAGATGCGGGCAGAGAAAAAACACGGGCAGCCTGCCCGGTTGACAGGTTTTAGGTTCTCGGGCAGCCGCACTTGCCCGCTTTGTTGGACAGAGTGTATTCATTCACAATTCTTGGTGCCATACAGCTGTCGCCAACGGTTTGTGGGGTTAACTTTTTAAAAAAAAAAAAAATACTATAAATAAAAGTTGCCTTTTTCTTTTTTCTCAAATAAAATAAATTATTTAACTTTTCTTGAGCTTTGTTTAAAGGAGTTTAGTTGGGGTGACCTGTGCCTTGTTGTTGGGTTGGCACCCATTCATCACACTTTGGGGGCATTATTTAATTATTTGTTGTCATTTAATTTAATCGATTTTAGTCGTTTGAAAATTTTAACAAAATCATGAGGGTGTGAGTACTGTTGAGCTGGTTGGGACTTGTGTTAATTACCTGGTATGATTTAGACATTGATTATTTCGATGTCAAGAAAGTAATTAATTTATTCTAACATCCCATGTGGTTCGTCATTATCATAAAATATTCTTATATCTTTCTAAAACACATTAACTTTAAAAATGTATGTATTCTATTACTTCTAAGCATATTCATATATAAAATTTATTTAATAGTTTTTCATTTATTAATTGAGAGAATTCAGGATTTTTCGTAAAGTGATATGAGAGATATTTCTTATATGTATATGTATGAATAATGGCCATTGCATTTTACACCTCTAATTTAGAGTTGCATAAGGACCTCACATACATAACTCCCTTACCCTTGAATTCACGAGCAACAATTCAGATATCCGTGTACGAATCAATACCCATCACAATTCGCTGCGTGAACCTCATCATCAGACGTTGCTCGTTTTATTTAATTACAGGTAATATTTTCGGAAGTATTTTCAGTTTTGTGAGTGGTTTTTAGTCAATATTTTTCTTCTTTTGTTAAAAGTAGTTGAGTCACTCGATCAAATTTTAACTCGTGTGAGTTTGCTTTGTGCATATACTGTTGATTCTTATTATTAGAATCTTTTTACATTATAAAATTAAAGCCATGTGTTATTGTTTTCCATCTTTTAGTTAGTTCATCAGATTAGTCCTTCAAAAATGACTTGGGTTATTTTGGCTATCTCATTCCAAATTACACTTTATCATCAACAGAAAATAGTCCCATGAATAGAAGAATATCTAATCAGTATTCACCGAAACAAATGAACCCTACATCCAAACAAAAGAGACTTCAATAATGATGAACAATAACGTGAATTTTACACTTGAGTTCATGGGTTGTGCTTAATTAGGAATGGTGGTTTAGTAACCACGCCAAATAATTGATACCGACAAAGTTGCTGACGTAGTCTTGTGTCAAATCTTTGGTCTTAACGGTTTCCTAATGTTATTTTAAAGGGGTGCACAAATCTGTTCTACCCAACACCAAATTCAAACTCTAATTGCTTTTCCAACCCAGCCTTTTATTTTTCCAAAAAGAAGCGTTCGCAACGGTATATGAATACATATTTTGCATTTCAGAAGATGAGAATGAAGAGATTTTGATTCTTGAGTTGATCACCTAACATGGCACAATGGGACCCCACGCCCACATCTTCCACTGAAATTGTGGCAAGTTACTATTATTCTCTATTCAAAATGGGTACACATTTGTGGCCTTTAAATTTCAAGTGACCCGGTTCAATGGGACAACAATAATAGTAATAGCATCAAACAAAAAAGAAAAGAGAACAAAATGTACCTTCACATGTAATTTTCCAGGAATGGACCGCGAGGCAGGGAATTAGGATAGTTCAAATGAATGGTCCCCTAACTTGCTTCCGAACTTAGCAAGGTTCCAACTTTGTTTTTTTTGTCAACATAGCTTCGAATCTCGTTGTTAAATCACACAGCTACCACTAGTACATCTTTAAAAAATCTAGCTAGCTTCTTCTATGTGAATATGCTTTATAGGGGAATTTGTCAAATATCTCGCCCAAGTTTATTAAGTTGCGTTTTGTTTAGTGAGTTGAGCGTTGACAGAGAGAGTTTAACAAACATGTTATCAGAGAGAGTTTTAGTTTGAATAACGTTATGTTCGATAATAATTTCAAATTTTATATAGAATAAATAATTTATGCAGTGTAAAAGATTTTTATACCGTCATTTAATAAAGAATCACTATTTATAGTAAATTTATTCATTTTTATAATAATATATTATTCCGACAATGTATAGAGTTTAATCTCATTTATATATTTATGTTGTGAAATTAAAATTTTATATAAAATATAATTATATTTATTATAATTAGTAGAGTTGAGACACTCTACGTCTCTATATTTATTTAAAAGTATTTAAAAATTATTAATATTTATTAAATTAATTAATATTGTATATTATCTTTAAATCTCAGATTTTTGGGTTCAATTTTTAGATTTAGTCAATTTTTAATATTCATTTTTATTATATAAAAATTTAAAGATAGAATAATTCAAAAATTATGTATGCGAAAATAAAATATCCCTTTATTTATTATAATCAATAAAAAAATTATAACCTTATACAAATGAATATGATTAATTAGTTTGCTGTATAATATATATTTTATACGTATAACCTATAGGAACTCTATAGGTCTTACTAAAAATGATAAATACGAAAGTCATAAATATGAAGAAAAAAATATTCAATGGTTATTTTGTCAAATTCACTCACTTATGTATGCTGTCAAACAATGCAAACTAATTGGTAACTATTTGTTAAAAAAATGAAAACGCGTATTACAAAAATAATGAAGATGTGAATGAATTGTTACCATGTCTTTGTAGAAGAAAATCAAGTTGCATATAATTTGGCTGAAAGTGATCGTTTCATGATAAAGATGTGCATATATATTCAAAAGTTATACAACTCTAATTTAAATATTAAAAAAAAAACTAAATACTTAGAATTTTTTATAGAGATCAAAAACGTATTTTACTCTTTTTTAATATAATATATAGAAAAGCTAATAATAAAAAAATATTTTATAATTTTATCATAATTTTATACTTAGAAATAAAAATAAAGGTATTTAAATAATAATTTTATGATTACGATATATTTTTAGTTTATGTAAAATGAAGAAATTTTGATTTTGTTTCTTATAAAATTTTTTTTACTTTTCATCCATAAAAATTTGAAACTACATTTTTAATTCATATTATTACATGATTATTTTCAAATTCTTATATATTTATTATAAAATTAAATGATAATCCTAAGTGTTATTATAATTACATGTATAGTATCATGTTAGTGTATCATATATATATATTTTAAAAGAATAATAGATTCATAAAATAAATATTATTTATCAATTTTAAAATAAATATTAAGGACCAAAACAATAAATTCAGTTTTTAGAAGATAAAAACTATAGAAAAATATCTTATATAGAGACGAAAATTAAAATATATTAATTTTATAGAAATTCAAAACATATTTAAGTTTAATTTTATTTTTAAAATTAATATAAAATATCTCAAATATATATATATATATATATATATAGAAATTGAGCACTTCTTAATTATGGGCTCGGGACAATCGAATTTCTCGAAGACGCCAGGCCCGGCCTGTCCTGGTGACAAAGCATTCTTTGTAACCGTAAATTTTTTTGTCTAGAATTTCCTTTCGATATGAAGATTGAGAATAGATTGTGGCTTAGCCATCATCCACCAATCATGACCCTATATATATCATCTGTATCTTGTGATATCATTTATTGGTTTAAACTTTTAGAAGAAAAGGTTAAACTACTCACCACATGTACTTTCATTCATCTGTCAAAGAAACTCGCAATTCATTTTAAAATTTGTGATTAAGTTTATGGACTCCTAAAATTTCCTTGTTCCAACTAATAATAATGTTCGCCCAAGATAATTTAGCCATCAATTTTATGATGTCAAAACAAAATGTAATTAAGATTGTATATGTAACAACCCGTCATGACGGTTATACTACGGAATAATATTATACATTAATGAAATATATACTAAAATAGTATAATAAAAATATTTATAACATAAGTTGTCAAGCAAGCAACCAACAACACCCAGCTATATTCAACAAAATATGTTATTATAAGGTAGTCTACAAAAGAAAACATCCACTCCAGACACTTCTTGTGGCCTCTAGCAACTATCTCTCAGCCTATACCTGCCCTACTCTCATATATCGTATGATCATCGCAGTCCAAACTAGAAACATGCAAGGGTAAACTAGAGACAATAAACAACTCATAATAATTAAATATGCAACACAATTAGCTGTATAATCATCTTCACGTCCAACACAGAGGACAAACAACACACAAACTACACATCTTAACATCATTTCAACTTAATTTAATACATTAACACTAATCAACATAGTATGAACACCTCAACGCAAACTATTAGACAACTCATCATAATAGCAACAACATTTTCAACACATCGTACTTTACTCAACTTGGCCGCTTGTAATCGGTATAGCTCGGCCTGACCCCTATACCGTGGTCGCTTCATACATGTGTGCCTCGACCTTGCTCACACACGGGACCAACTAAGTCCTAGAAGAGAACAACACATCATCCACTCCAAGGGACAACTTTCCAAGGAGGGTTTTTCAACAAATTGGGTTCTTAGAACACAACAACTATCTCAAACCACATAATGGGATGAACAACTTCAAAAATATTTCCTCTAGTCCTAGTGATCAACAACTCATCATCACAGCACAATCACATAGTTTTCAACCCAATAATCCAACTATCAGCTCATTCATATAACATTATATGCAACTTGAATGCAACAACACATGCAACATCAACTAATGCATCGTCACACATATACAACTGAGAGATCTCTAACAACTGAGGTTGACCAATCTAGGTGCCATAAACCCTACCGAATCCAACGTTTGACCTATCTCAACTAGGTCAGGCATAGGGCATCATTAGAAACTCCGAAGAGAACCAGGTATAGACAACAATAGGCAATTACTCGGGTGTGCCACTTAGACTCGGAGGTCCAGTAATACTGTCAGGGCAGAAGGGTTTGGGTATGGGCCTACCACGGCCTTGGTTTGCATAACCAATCCATATATGGAGTTAGCCCACCCACTACCCTCCAAGTACCACGCACCCTCCAGTACCCAGTCAAAGACTACATCTCTAACTAGATACCTTACTCAATTTGGTCATTCAACCATGACATGGATCGACTACTTCCATATTGTCCATACAGTACTAAGGAATTCAACTTTAAAACAACTTTCAACTTATCACCTTAGTACTATGTATCTCAACATAAGACATATATCTTCACTGTATGTCCCCAACTTTATAACTTTACAACTATAGGCATCATAACAACTTTACAACAATAGCCATCTTTACAACAATAAGCAACTATAGTCATCAATCTCAACTTCAACAACTTTAAGGCAACTTTCAACTTTACAGCAATAGGCATCTTTATACTACTTAATTAAACAAATAGAGCAACTATAGTCAACACAATATCAACTTTATGACCACAACTATAGACACCCTTCATTCAGCTTTACAACAATAGTCATTCGATAACTTTAAATCAACTCAATGCAACTTAACAACTTTAAACAACTTTACAACAATAAACTACTTCAACTTATACATCTCAACTTATTAATAATTCAACAATAAACAACATGAAAACAGCTTAGTTTCACCAAATACACAACATATAAATAGTCCACACATAACATATAACAACTTTGACAACATATCACATATTATCAACACACAACATTTTCATCACATAACACAACTCATACTACATGTTTACAATCCATTTATCATGCCAACTTATACACCCAAAACAACATCAATCAACCTAAGCACCCAAAGCAACTTTCAACTTAACCAAATCACTTATTGTGAAATGGCAACCTTCACATAAGATAACATAGATGAAGTTATACTACTCCTATCATGCTCATTCTTATCTCATATGAAAGATAAAAAGATTTCCTACAACTCTCATGAAGACACTAATTCCTAATTCCATCATCTACCTTGTTAAAAATTCTAAAAACCGCAACAACTATAACCAATGCTGGCAGCTTGACCCCTGTTCACTAAAACAACCATATTTGGAGTTCTATAGCTCTTTTTTGGTGATTCTAGTGCCATTGGAAAGCCAACATCCAAGGCTAAAACTTTCATGAAGACTTAAAGACCAAACATACTCACGCCCGGCGCATTCAGATCACGCCCGATGCAACCTCAAACAGAGACTCACAAGAGTCTCCATGCCCGGCGCAACTAACCTCGTGCCTGGCGTGATTTGATACTGGTGGCCCCAGATGAATGCATGCCCGATGCCAAGAACTGCGCCCGGCGCATGTTCAACCAGAAACCTCCAAAAACCTCAAAAATTACTTCAAAAGCTGAAAATCAGCAACTTCAACCACATGCAATCCATGAAATAAAATGAATAGACTTCATACAACTCAAAAACAGCCTCAGATCCAACATGCAACTTCACAAGGCATCAAAATCAACAAAATCCCCATTTTTACTACTCCAATCATTCTCATCCTTATCTTATATGAAATATAAGAAGATTTCCTACAACTCTCATGAAGACACCCAGTCCTAATTCCATCATCTATCTTGTTAAAAATTGTAAAAATCGCAACCATTCTCCTAAATGCTGACAACTTGACCTTTGCTCACTAAAAAGGTCATAACTAGATCTCTAGATCTCCTTTTTGAGTGATTCTAGCGCCATTGGAAAGCTAACATCCAAGGCTACAACTTTTATGAGGGCCTCAAGACCCAATTCAGTCATATACACTCACCTCTGCAGCGCTCAAATCAGTGTTTTAGCTCTAGATTTCTGTCAGCTCAGTTTCCTTTCCACGGCCATGGCTGCATGTTTTTGCCACTCCAATTTTTTTTTTTCCACAGCCATGGTTACAAGTCTCTACCAC